ACTCAAGAATGTTTAAACAATTAACTTACTGTATATACCACAAACTTTCTAATTATTTATACTTAATTTAAATATATACATATAAAATTTTTATGGACATTTCTGGAAGAAGAGATATTGGGAATGAAGATTCTTCATTGGATATAATCTTTAATTGGTTACAGGTATTCTTAGCAAATTCTCTCCCAATTATTTGTGTCAAAATGCATGCAAGATGAAATATTTTATCACACAGAATACTTGTTATTAAAGCTAATTAAAACTAAAATTCTCTAATATATTTCAAAAAAGTTTGAGAATTTCTCCACTAATTTATTACTAAAATGTCTGTGCTATTTATACTCTTCTCAATACACTAGATTCAAAACAAAGAGGATAATACTAACTATATTTCAGATGTGATGTGAACTACAGGACTAAAATTACCTAGGTGTCAAAGGAGAAAAAAAATTTTAATACCATACTAATAATAAATAAATTAATAAAGTGAAAGGGAAAAAACAAATACATAGTTCTTTGCACTAGTATTATTTTAGTATCAGTTACAATATCTCCTTTCTCATCTCTAATTTTATTTGGGTCTTCTCTCTCTCCTCCTCTATATTTTTCTTTTTCTTGGTCTAACAGTTTGTCAATCTAGTTTATCTTTTTAAAACATAACTTCATTTCATTGATCTTTATATTGTTTTTTAGTATCTTATTTATTGATGCTCTGATCTTTGTTATTTATTTCCTTCTAATTTGGGAGTTTGTTTTCTTGTTTTTCTAGATCCCTTGTATCCATTGTTGTTTATTTGATAGTTTTGCTTCTTTGTATGGGGCTTTATTACTATAAATTTCCCTTAGTACTTTTGATATATCCCATAAGTTTTGGTATATTATGTTTCCATTTTCATTTGTTTCAGGAACTTTTTTAATTTCTCCTTTGTTTTCTTCAAAGACCTACTCTTTGTTAAGTAGCAGTTTGTCAAGGCTCCATAAATGCATAATTTTTTAGGTTTGTTTTTTATTTATTTCCTAGTTTTATTCCACCACAGTCAGAGAAGTTACACGACATGATTTATATTTTTTTAATTTGTTAAGATTAGTTTTGTAGCCTAATATCTGATCAGTTCTGGAGAATGCTCCATATCATGATGGAAAGAATATATATTTTTCAGGTGTTGGATGAAATATTCTTTAAATACCTGTTAAGTACATCTGATCTGTAGTGGAGTTTAATGATTAGTAATTGGTAGTAGAGATTTTCTGAATGATGTGTTGTCCATTGATGAAAGTATGATGTTGAAGATGCCTACTATTATTTTATTAGTTCTCTCCCTTTAGATCTAATGATATTTGCTTTATAAAATTGGATTGTTATATAACTAGGTGCATATATATTTACAATTATTATATATTCTTGTTGAATTGATCCCTTGATCATTACATAATAACCTCTTTATTTCTTTTTACAGTTTTTTTGTAATTTTTTTAGTTGTAGATGGACACAGTAACTTTATTTTATTTATTTATTTATTTATTTATACTCTATATTTGTTTTGTTTTAACTTATATATGATATCAGAATGCATTACAATTCTTATTACACATATAGAGCACAATTTTTCATATCTCTGGTTGTATACATAGTATATTCACACCAATTCGTGTTTTCATACCTGTACTTTGGATAATAATGATCATCACATTCAACCATCATTAATAATCTCATGCCCCCTCCTTTCTTCTCCAACCCCTCTGCCCTATCTAGAGTTGTCTATTCCTCCCATGCTCCCGCTCCCTATCCCACTATGAATCAGCCTCCTTATATCAAAGAAAACACTCGGCATTTGGGTTTTTGGAAATGGCTGACTTCACTTAGCATTATCTTCTCTAATTCCATTCATTTACCTGCAAATGCCATGATTTTATTCTCTTTTATTGCTGAGTAATATTCCATTGTGTATATATGCCACATTTTTTTATCCATTTATCTATTGAAGGGCATCTAGGTTGGCTCCAGAGTTTAGATATTGTGAATTGTGCTGCTTATAACATTGATATGGCTGTGTTCCTGTAGTATGCTGTTTTTAAGACCTTTGGGTATTAACCAAGGAGAAGCTGGCTCAAATCATGGTTCCATTCCCAATTTTCCAAGAAATCTCCATACTGCTTTCCATATTGGCTGCACCAATTTGCAGTCCCACCAGCAATGTAAGAGTGTACCTTTTTCCCCACATCCTTGCCAACACTTATTGTTGTTTGTATGCATAAGAGCTGCCATTCTAACTGGAGTGAGATAAAATCTTAGAGTGGTTTTGATTTGAATTTCTCTAATTGCTAGTGATGATAAACATTTTTTTCATGTATTTGTTGATTGTACATCATCTTCTGAGAAGTGTCTCTTAAGGTCCTTGGCCCATTTATTGGTTGGGTTTTGTTTTGTTTGTTTGTTTGTTTTGTTTTTTGGGTTTTTTGGGGGGGGTTGTTTGTTTGTTTAGTGCTTAGCTTTTTGAGTTCTTTATATGCCCTAGAGATTAGTGCTCTATCTGATGTGTGAAGGGTAAAGATTTGCTCCCAGGATGTAGGCTCTCTATTCACCTCACAGATTGTTTCTTTTGCTGAGAAGAAACTTTTTAGTTTGAGTCCATCCCATTTATTGATTCTTGATTTTAATTCTTGCACCAAAGGAGTCTTATTAAGGAAGTTGGGGCCTAATCCCACATGATGAAGATTAGGGCCTACTTTTTCTTCTATTAGACACAGGGTCTCTGGTTGTATTCCTAAGTCCTTGATCCATTTTGAGTTGAGTTTTGTGCATGGTAAGAGATAGGGGTTTAATTTCATTTAATGAAGTGAGTTTCTTGTGGCAGCCGATTATTAGGTCTTGTTTACATTCATTTAGCCAGTCTCTTCATTTTGTTGCATATGGATTTACAGTTTCCCCAGCACCATTTGTTGAAGAGGGTATCTTTTCTCCAATGCATATTCTTGGCACCTTTGTCTGATATAAGATAATTGTAGTTTTGTGGATTAGTCTCTGTGTCCTCTATTCTGTATCATTGGTCTACCAGTCTGTTTTGGTGCCAACACCATGCTGTTTTTGTTACTATTGCTCTTTATTATAGTTTAAGGTCTGTTATAGTGATGCCACCTGTTCCATTCTTCCTGCTAAGGCTTGCTTTAGCTATTCTGGGTCTCTTATTTTTCCAGATGAATTTCATGATTGCTTTTTCTATTTCTATGAGGAATGTCATTGGAATTTTTATTGGAATTGCATTAAATCTGTATGGTGCTTTTGGAAGTATGGTCATTTTGATAATATTAATTCTGCCTATCCAAGAGCAATGTAGATCTTTCCATCTTCTAAAGTCTTCTTTGATTTCTTTCTTTAGTGTGCTGTAGTTTTCATTGTAAAGGTTTTTTAATGTATTTTTATGTGGTGCTAAGGATCAAACCCAGTGAGCTAGTCAACTGCTCCACCACTGAGCTACAACCCCAGCCTCTCTTTTTATAAGTTTTGTTTTTAAGTCTATTTTGTCTGATATAAGACATTTATATCCTGCTTCCTTTGGGTTTCTATTTGCATGAATTGTCTTTTTATACCCTTTCACTTTTAGTCTGTGTTTACTAATGAAGTGAGTTTCTTGTGGCAGCCAATTATTAGGTCTTGTTTACATCCATTTAGCCAGTCTCTCCTTTAATTGAGGAATTTAGTCCATTTTATGCAAAGGTATTATTGGTAACAAAAGTATTGACTTCATCATTTTGTTAAATTTGTGAGTGTGTATGCGTGTATGTGTGTGTGTGTGTTCATGTTGTGTATGTTTTAAGATCCTTTGTTCTATCCTTTTTCTCTTTTTCATCTTTGTGTTTTGCTGGCTTACTATGTTGACATATGTTGACAAGGTTTGATTTTTTTTTCTCTTTCTGTTTTATGTATCTGCTCTTCCAATGAGTTTTAATACTTTCATGTGTTTTCATGATGGTTCTTATCTTCTTCTTTGAGTATGGGATTTCCTTAAGCATCTTTTGTAAAACCAGTCTGATAGTATGAATTCCCTCAGTTTACATTTCTTTTGAAAAGTCTTTATTTCCCCTTCATTTCTAAAGAATTGCTTTTCTATATATAGTCATCTTGGTTGGCAATAATTTTCTTTCAGAACTTAGGGTATATCATCACACACTCTCCTGAATCAAAAGCTTCTGCTTAGAAATCTGCTAAAAGTCTAATAAAGGTATACTTAAATATGACTTAGTGTTACAATTCTTAAAATTCTCTCTTTGTATTATACTTTTGGAAGTTTGACTATCATATGCTCTGGTAAGAATCTTTTCAAGTCATCTTTATTTGTATTCTTATAGGCCTTCTATACCTGAATGTCCATATTTTCTCAAGATCAAGGAGGTTTTCAGCTATTATTTCAAAGAAATAAATCAGATGCAGAAAGACAAATACCATATGTTCTCTGTCATATGTGGATATTATAAATGTCAAACAGAATTTATAGTTTTGATTACTAGATCCTGGGAAGAGTAGGTGAGGGAGAGATTAAAAAAAGGTTAACTAATGGGTACAAGAACACATAATAGAATTTATAAGTTCTAGTATTCTATATAACAATGGGATGACTGTAGTTTAAATACTGAAATATATATCTTATGAATAACTAAAGGAGAGGAGATCAAAGGTTTTAAACATAAGGTAATGATAAGGATGTTGAAATGTCAATTATCAGTACATATTGTATACATATATGGCAATATCACACCATACCCCAAAAACATGTACTATTGTTATGTTAATAGAAAATTTTAAATATTTAAGGTGGAAATATTAACTACTCTTATTATATTATTGTACACTACAGATAGAGTTATAATACTTTACCCTTATTAATTTGTATAATTGAAATAATAATAAAAATGTATTCACAAAAAGTATATATGCTAATATTTGAATTTGAAATGATCAAACTTAGAAACCTTGCTTTTGGGTTTGTTTTTTATCTCTACAGCCCAGTGAGAGTCACAGAGTACACAGTGGACCATATCAATCCAGCAAGCTGCCATCATCTTTTATGTACTACAGGCCAAGAAGGATTTCAGCAGGCTCCCCTCCTTTCAATCACCCAGGATATAGGCGCTTTGGCTCAATGTTCTTTCCTCCTCAACCCCTCCCACCAAAACCCATTAGAAAACCTCACCACTTTCCTGGTTATCCAAATCGACCTTTATACCCAAAACCACCATGTCATCCTTTTCCTGTACATCCTCCTGTTCATCCTCCTTTCCCTAACCCTAAACCCCCAGTAAAAACAACCACCACACCTACCACCACTGCAGAATTCACCACTGCCCCAACAACAACCATCATAGTTTCCACAGAACCCACTACAACAACAGAAGAACCCACAACAACAAAAGAAGAACCCACCACAACAACAGAAGAACCCACCACAACAACAGAAGAACCCAC